CCGCCAATATTGGTGGTCCTGGCGAGCGACGAAGAAAAATGTACGCGACAGTCGTAATGTCGGTGATATTGTATGGGGCCCCAATTTGGGCGCAAACAGTGGCGAGAGACCGCGAAATAATAGGTAGAGTGCGTAAGCTGCAGCGGCAGCTTGCCCTGAGAGTGATCAGGGGCTACCGAACCATATCGCATGATGCGGCGGCCATCCTTTCGGGAATGGTTCCGTTTGACCTAGCGGCGAACCGTATTAGACGGTCTTATCTGCGCAGACGGGATATCATCGCCCGGGATGGCGAGATTACCCCGCAAGTGGGGGGGATGCTGCTGGAGGTCGAGCAACGTCGCTTGATCGCGCTTTGGCAAAGGCGACTTAATGAGCTGCCTCCGAGCGGACCGGGCGCAATCGTACGAGGCGCCATCGGAGGGGACCTGGAGACGTGGGTTGGGAGAGTGCATGGTGCCCTCACATACCGTGTTACACAGATCTTGACGGGGCACGGGGTGTTTGAGTCCTATCTCTATAGGATAGGACGACGGAATTCATCGAATTGCCTGTTCTGCAGGGCGACGAACGACACGGCGGTGCACACCCTTCTGTTCTGTCCGTCCTGGGCGGAGCAGAGGGAGGGGCTGCTAGCGATTGTGGGGATTGATAGGACATTTCGGGCTGTGGTGAGGGATATCATGCGCTCTCCCGAGGCGTGGTGTGTCTTCGCGGAGTTCTGCGAGACGGTGATGCGGAGAAAGGAGGAGGACGAGCGCGCCTGAGAGCGGCGACTTGCCCCGCGTGTAGGGGTGCTGGCCCTTCTTCAGAACGAAGAGGACTCTGACTCTGGTTAGAAGCGGACCGGTGATGTCAGAGCGTATAAGCTCGTGCGTTGCGGAGCTGCGTATGTATAAATTGTAAATAGTAGTAGACTTTAAGTGTATTTTATTATATATGTGTGGGACCCGTGTATAGTGGTAGCGAGCCAAAGTAGCTCGGTAGGTTGGGGGGCATTTCGATGATACGCTAGAGTACGGTTCCGGAATGCCTCTCTTGCCTGTGCGGTAGTACGGAAAGGGGGGAGTTTTTAATCGGTAGGCGGCCGCCCCGGTGTATCCTACGAGGTCACGGGGATGCTGAATCCGGCACTCCC